TTATTTCAAAGAAAAGAAGAACCAAAAAAAAAACAAAAGAAAGATGTCAAATTTCTATGTTTTAGTTGATAAATTTGGAAAACTAAGAAAAATTAGTCCCTTGTGATAAGAAAAGTCTAACAAATGCTACGTATATTCTTGAATAAGCCTAGATAATAATATATATAGGATATTAAATGGCAACTTAATTTACAAGTGTAAATATTAAAATATATTAATAAAAATTCAAGGGTGTATCATTTTTTTAATATCGTAAAATGACCCATAAATATTCAATTGCCACGAATTATTACCGTAATTAAGGAGATTAAAAAAAATCCAAGCTTAATTGCATGAGAAAGAAAATGTGGGAAAAAATAATATGGTATTTTAATTTATTGGTATTATCTGCCCATATTCAGAGATGACATTAGGGCAGAACATGGAAGGATAGGTTATTTATAACAACCACGGATTTTTCTACACAAGAAAAGGGAAAAAAAAAGTTTAACAATAAATTCCTTGTATTCTTTGACGTCAACTATATAAAACACATACCTTTGAAGTTAATACCTAGAAAAGAATCAAATGTTTAATTATTTATGTTGGTCTCGAAATTCGGTCGACTGATGTAGCCAACAAATAATGATGTGGTCGTCTCCTTCACGTGTGCATAATCTGCAACAAGGTTGAACTCAACATCGATGTTCCGCTAAATGTACTCTGAAGCTTAAGTTAGAACTCAATTTAGAAGGGAGCTAAGAGGAGAGCATGCAAGAGTATGGTGCAAGATTTTGCATACCTTTGGAAAGAGTTTGAACTCTTTTATAGGAGAACGATTTGGGAGAATGTGCTCAGGGAAATATGGGTCGTACTGTTGAACGAAGAGTTCTTAGCCAACTCTAAGGATACTCTGACACTCGAGATTGTACTCTCGTCGAAGGTTAGCGATATCCCGCTAGGTGAACTCTACCCGAAAAAAGTAGACGAGCTAAACTGCCAATCTTTAGGACACGTGGCGATCGACTTTCCCTCATTGGCCTTTCGAGTTCGAACTTAGCGCTGTAGGATTTGCCCACACGTCTTGTCGAGTTTTAGCCCATATTAGTTTATAAAATTTCTAACATATCAATCAGAATAAATAAAAATGTGGAGATGAGAATGAAGACGCATGATCCTATCCAAAATAGACAATTCAGTCCATGTCTTTCATCGTTGAAAGCAAGGCAAGTTTGTACCAGAAAATTTCTCATCTCTATTTGTACTGACCCATTCAAGTTACAAATTGAGATTTACTAATACCGTACCATGTACGTTCGCATAATACAATACATCGATTTCACATTTCCTTTTGGTATGCAACTTTTGTTCAAACTTAAAATAGGAGAGAGAGAACTTGAAAATCAAGGGAAAAATGGAGAAATTGAGAGGGAGTGAAATGGATGTAGCATCTCTCATAGCTAGCAAAAGTTGTGATTAAGAAAAAGATGGTTTTTATAGATTAGCTTAGCTTGCAAATACCACAAAGAAAATTCTTATTCAAACTTTTCTTAATCTCCATTTGCTTTATCATCCCCTCTTTAGATCTCATCACACCCACCAACTGTTTTTTCCTTCCAAACTTTACCCTTTTTTCCCCATCATTTCTCTCTCTCTCTCTCTCTCTCTCTCTTTTTTATATATAATCTTATGAACAATTATTATTAAGTGCAAAAGTATATCATCATCTCTTTAATTTTCACTTTCAACTGATCATGATTCATGAGGAGGAGGAGGACCAACTTTATGAGTTGTGCATATATTAATTTCAAAACAAAATCAAATTAGGGTTTGTTGGAAAATAAAATAATTAGGGTTTTGTTGGGTTAAATTTTGTTATTTTTCTTGGGTAGGGGTAAGATGTATTATTGATTGATTTGTCATTAGAGTCACAAAAACTAAACTAACCCCAAAACCCTAATGGCACCTAATCCCCAATTGTGTAGGTTTAGTTGAGTTATAAAGTTGGTTTGTGTTAATTAGATTAGGTTTAAATAATAGTTGAATTAACTTGGGTATAAGTTTGTTCGTTAAAAATCAAGTTTTCGGGTTTTCCGTTAAAGTTATGAAATAATCACTGCTCATGGTATAAGAGTATATATGATAGTCTATTTGTTAAAGTCTCGTACCAGAGTAGTTTTGAGTGAGAGTGTCAATTTAATATATTAAAAACATTGTATACATTATATTCTAGCTATAAGATTATTAATATTTTGAGTTTAGTAATAATTTAATATGAATGGTTGCTCGGTACTTCTAAATCTTTAGTTATAACAAACACCTCTTCTATTTTCTTAAAAAAGAGGTATATGTTATACATGCCACTTTATTTTGTCTAATTGTTGTATATTTCTTATATTTGTCTGCCACATCGTTTCAAATTTGTCTGATAGATATATCATATTATGTTATTATTTAGTTAACAATGCATAATGTGAAGACTTTTATAGAATTACAATGCAAGGTTTAAGACGGTAATTGAAACTTTTTAACATTTTTAAGTACTAAATAGGGAGAGAAACAATCATTATATAATTCTATTAAACATCCTAAATTGTAAAGTTTACTCTTAAATCTATTTTCTATCAAGATAAAATAATCATTTGCTTTTAGAAAAGACAAGTCTTGTACACTTAATTTTAATAATTTATTAACATAATTTGAATTATATAAACGAATGATGATATATTATAACTTAAAAAGGACTTTAATTGTTAAAATTATAACAACTTTACATGTATATCAAAACTAGTTTTTAAAACCCTTTTAAGCAATTAAAATGGCAAAAAATATTTTCTTTTAAATACATGCAACAACAATAAAAAAAAATTGTAATGGGTAGCTAACATATTTATCATATTTGCAAATATAACAACTTTTGAGTTTACAAATTTACAAAATATTTGAAATCTGATTTTTTTTTATTTTTTAGTTATTCCAATTTTGATTTTCTATATCAAATTAGGAATATTAATATATCAAGTCATATATATATATATAAACATTAAGATTGAGTATATCATTGTACAACACTCATAATTAAGTATATCAGTATAATTGATTCCTTAAGTAATATCAATAATATAACAACATTCGTGTTAGGTACAGAAGAAAGACATTTAGGTTATAAAGGGTTAAATTTAGGCATTTCATTTAAAATTTGTAAATAACACAGCGTAGAGAAACTGAACTAAGTAGAGAAAATTAATATATCAGCACTCATATCAAGTATATCATTGGTATATTAACACTTATAATCATGTATATCAATAATATATCAAATCATATATATATATATATAATTTGGTTTTCGTGTTCATTAGGGTATATTAAACTCTTGATATTTTTTGTGTCAATTGACCCTCCAAATTACTATGTTTACAAAATTAAAATGAAGGCTAGTTTTACAAATTCCTATTAATTTTTTGTTAAAATATAAAAATTTAGAATCCCAAATATCAAATGTGACGTGTCCAAGACAATATGTTGAATTTCCATTTCCAAGATTAAATAATTGTTGATTACCAACCATATAAC